ATCTTGGAGGCTAAGGAAAGGATTTGGGAAACCCTAGCAAAAATCGCCATCTAGGGTTTTGCAACCCTAATTGCGAAAATTACCTAGCCTTTAGGGTTTATTAGCCATAAACCCTAATATGTCAAGTTCACAAATTTGAATAAAAGCTAATTGAAAACAAAAACCAATGGCTCTGATACCACTGATGGGTTTATACAAACAATCCTATGTGTGCATGCAACCCTAGTATTGGATCTATGTTTTCACTATTAGTTATACAACTTTATGAACACAAAAAGAAACCTGGCATGCTACTATAATTTTCGAAATTCATATATAAAACTAGAATACATACCTTTTGTTGTTATATAGCAATAACAACTAGTTCCTTGAATTTCCTTAGCTCTTGAAAGCAAGTACCACAAGTGTAGTACCTCTAATGGAGTCACAAACACCATATGCAACTTGGATGAAGAGGAGAAGTAAAGGAGGCACCAAAAACGGCTGGAAACCCTAATGGAAGTGTTGTGTACGTTTTTGGGGCCTAAGGGGTCCTTTATATACTAGTGTGGGCTTCTAGGGTTTCAGTCAAAACCCTAATGGACAGCTTAAACTCTAAGCAGCCCATGGAACCTTCTGGACAAGGCTATGGACGAAAATATGATGGGCTTCCATCATAATTTCGTTCACCCCTTATTCTTATAGCATTCCTTAGCCCAATAACTCAATTATCCAATAATTGCAGTCCAGTCCCCTATATTTAATTAATCTCTTTTAGCCACAAAATTAATTCTTAATTAATTCTTGACTAATATTAATTAAACAATATGATTTCTCCTTTGATATATTATTCTCATAATATATTAATAAATCATATTTAAACCTTAATCTCCTTAAATCATCCTACATATTGCTATGGTGAAGGCAACCCAAAAGGACCATGCTCATAATCGGGTCAAGTACATACCAAAATAGTTATGGACTTAGACACTAATCCAACATACCGTTAGCTGACCTCATTCACGAAACCGATCTATAAGGGGGTATAAGGTTGTTGCCTATAAAATGGCAGTTTAATGGGTGTCCACGCTCACCCACCGCTTCCTTGATTGGTGGAGGTCGTTAGCCGAACGGGTATAATAGAGCAACTAATTCCTCATTAAAAGTATAATGGATAATAAAGTAACTAAATGTTTTTATAAAATTCTCAATCTTAGTTACTATAGGAAAAATGTGAAGATGATGCTATTCCATGAAATTACACTTTATACCCTTGTCAAGACGTTAGTGGAGTGTGTGTGGTTAACCGGCACACTAATTTGGGTATAGCAAAGGTGGCAAAGGTGGATTCGATGTTTGTCATAGATCAATGGAGTGTGTGTAGCTAACCAGCACATTGATTAGGTGACTGTAACATTGAGGGCACCAAGTACATTTGCATGGTTATTCACACCTTATTTGGGATCCTCAGTATCCCAGTCACAAACTTGAAGGGCATATCAAGATTTAAACATGCCATTGAAAAGTTCAATAAATCTCAAAAGATCTAGGAGTTTTCAATACATTTAAAACTTAATTCTTTTTCATTTTTCATGGGTGAAATTAGTGAATCGTTATTCACTTACCTTCAAATTATTTGTTGTTTAGATTACGACATCCCTCTTCTAAATTATAGATAATGTTGTTGGATCCTAACCCTAATTTCTCTTTTTGGGTGTTTAATTGGGGATTCTTATCTAATCAAACTTTATCTCTTTTCTTTTTTGAGATGCCTACCTCGAACAACAACGCTTCCGGCTCGAACTCTTCCGGCTCATTCTCACGCATGAATTTGTGTGGGAGGGTGATTTTCGATGGGACCAATTTGAATGATTGGATCTGCAACATTCGAATGGTTACCCGCCAGGAGGACAAGGAGTATGTCCTTGATAATGATCTGAAAGAAGTAGATGTCAACACTGCTACTCCCGAGGAGATTGCTGCCTTTGAGGCACATGATAGTGATGCTACGAAAGTCCATTGCATCATGCTCACGACCATGACTGCAGAACTCCAAAAGTCCTATGAGGACTTTTATCCCTATGAGATGCATCAGGATTTACTAGACAGGTACCACCAAAGTGCCAGGTAGGAGAGGTACAAGATCATCACTTCGATGATCACTACCAAGATGAAGGACGAAGAGTCTGTCACGGCTCACCTGCAGAAGATGCAGACACATGTCGACTGGCTACTGAACTTAAATGTTAACTTCAATGAGGAGCTGGCGATCGATATCATTCTTCATTCCTTACCTCCTTGTTACAACCAATTCCGCATGACCTACTACATGAACAAGAAGGAGGTCACTTTGAGCAAGCTTCAAGGCTTATTGAGGACTGCTAAGAGCAACCTCAAGGACAAATCTGTTGCATCAACTCCTGCTGCCGCCGCCCTTATCTTGGATATTGGGAAATAGAAGGGTAAGAGGAGGAAGGCTCCTTCCATGAGCAACCATAAGGGAAAGTCCCATGATGGTACCTCTTCTAGTGGAACCAAGGTTGGTCCTGCTGCACCCTCCACGAACCCAAAGGATGCATAGTGCTACCATTGCCATGACAAATGGAATTGGAAACGAAGTTACCTAAAATATCTACAAGATATCAAGGATGGGAAGATCAAGTCGTCCTTCACAGGTATTTATACCATTTGTAACGCCCGTAGACCCGGGCTAGTCAATTTAGAGATGATAAACATCAAAAATGACTTTTTGATGGAAGATTATTTATAAGGATTAATCTTAACTAAGTTATAGTATATGTTACAATGATTTCGTACATATAAACAACGCCAAAATCTGAGTTATAACGAAGAAGTTATGACCTGCCGAAGTTTCGCGACAGAACCGGCACGATACAGCGCGACGTAAAAAGTGAATTTACGATAGAGCGATATTTAGCCTTACTGATCTAAACAAATTTTGTAGATTTCGTTAAACCGAGAACATGCATAAAATGAACGCCCAAATCTGACTTCATATGAGGAAGTTATGATTTTTCGAAGTTTCGGCTTAGCAGTGTACAACCCGAAATTCGAATATAAGATCGAGCGATATTTTTCCGAAACAATCTAAACAAGAATTGAAGATCTCGTTAATAGTAGTCCAACGGTGAAAAGACAGACGAAAACGGACGACAGATGAAGAAGTTATGAGTTTATAACGGAGTTTTCCTGTCCCGACCTACTAAAAATAATATAAAAATAATATAATAAAAATAAATTCAAAATTAGCCGACATAGTTTAAATTAAAGTTGTAGATCTTGTTTTTTTACCTACGTGTCGATATAAAGAACGTCGAAAACGGAGCTCGTATTTGAAAGTTATAAATTTCTGAAGTTCGGGGCGTGAACCCCAAGGTTGTGTCAGAGCTCACGAGGTGAGAAACATAACCCCATTATTGATGTCGGGTCATCCGTTGCACAAGATCTTCCGAGATTACATATCTGGACAAAGGATCATCCACCAAACCAAGTCATTCGAAATCTCAACGCTGGTTTTCAAAACTCGTTCTGCTACTAACATCCAAAACAAATGTTATTTCTCAGCATTTATCTCAATGGTTGAACTAAAATCCATCAACGAAGCATTAGAACATGCTAACTATAGAATTTTACTTCTTTTATCGGTATACATTTTACAAAGGTTTATCAAACTTTCCTTGCCTTTTTAGGTATTAACGAAGGAAGGAGTCCATGTAACAAATGAGTTGATTTATTTCTTCCACTTTGTTAAGTTTCATATTCGTGATTATAATCTAAATTACATTTTTATTTTTTTTGGAAGTAGCTGTTAAAAATGGTATGGATTAGTTAGATTTGTTAATGATGAAAAAGATACAACGGTTTTGATGGTTAGTCTTGAAAAAAATAATTTCATGTGGGGGATTTATTTACAAATTGACCATTTTTTAATTTGGGATTTGAAGAAAATACAAAGCTACCAATCTGTTTAAGTGATGGTCATATCATTGCTACTGTATATAAAAACTCATGTTGCTATATGCCCATTAAATCCTACCATTCATTCATGATTATGTGCAATTGAACAATAGAAACATTCATATTATTCTCACCAAATCACGAAAAAAATAATTCTACTTCTAGTAAAACTTACTCATATTTACATGTCATTTAAACCAAATCATTTTAAATTAGGTATGTAATCCCTTATAATTTGGAAAACGTATATGTTGGTGCTACTTTTTGGGATAAATTTGTTAAATTTATAAACTTACCGACTTCATCCCTTAAAATCAGTATTGTCATACCATTTAGGACATTTGAGATGCATGAAGGTAAATTAGTAATGATCTTGATGACAAGTTTATCTATTGGTTATATTTCTCTTTTTAATGTTATCTGGAATTGGCTTATCGTGAGTCTAACTGAATGTAGTAAAAAAATTATGTTGCTATTATCACTATTTGCAATATTTGTAACTGATTGTATCATATTTTTGTGAAATACAGAAAAAGCATCAGGTGCCACACAATTTTAGGAAGTTATTAAGTTCAAGGCTAAGAAGGCTTCTTGACACATGGGGTCTTCCATTTTTTGGTTATAAATGCAGTAAATAACATTGTACTTTGAATTTATAGTTTTTTTTTCCTTTTTTTAAAAAAAAAATGGTTTGTTTCTTTTTTTTTTTTCAAAAAAGAAACACCAACTAGCAATGTACTTTGAGTTTTATGTTGTCACTTGAGGGGCAAAGTTTTGATTGGTCCTTCCATAGTTGTTGGTATATGAGGGATATTCATATAATTTTACGTCTTATGATCTTATTTAAAATGACATTTTATTTTCTTTGAGTCTATTTCATTTTTTTAATTAAAATTACATTGTTTGTTTTTACTATGTAATTCACATTCAACCTATGAAAAACATGATCACCTACACTAGTTGATTATTTCGTTGTTATAAGCTTTATTTTGTACCTTCTAATTTTTCTTATTTTAGAACACTTCTAATAATAGATTATTAACCTCTAAAACAACACAAAAGGTACATATATAAATACAATTGTACACAAATGTGACTATTCAAGAAAACATTTGCACTAAAAATGGTGTATTGGATTGCAACTTGCAAGCACCACCTTGAGTGTATACGTAATGTTAAAGAAACCAATCCCAAGCTCCAGTTTCTCAAGGTTGGCTATAAGATTTAGACCTAATTATGATTTTATGAATCCAAAACTTATAAATGCTAATAGGATCCACATCTATTAATTGTTGGTTAGGCATGTGTAGTACTATTTCATGACATTGTTGATTAGGCTTATGTGCCATATAAGTACTATTGCTTACACTTTCTTTGAACATCCTCTATATATAGTTCTATTTCATCCAACTCCTGCTAGTTGTGCATAATACCCCCCATATATAGTAAATCTGGAAGAAAAACAACATACAAAGTGCACGAGCCTTGAGCCTTCATATTATAAACTTCATCGAACCCGTTTCAAACAAAAAATTTGTATGTAAGCAGCACGATGGAGGGTTGAACCTTACGTGGGTCTAGCATCATTAGTATTGATTGTAGTTTCTTTGAGCATCATCAATAGTTTTATTCTGCCTCACTCGGGCTGGATAACATCACCGGGGTAAATCTAAAAAGAACACAAAAAATGCACTATGCTTTATGTTAAGTTTTACTTTAAATTGTTTGGGATCCAAATGGATCTTGACCCGACCCGACCCGACCCGACCTGGCATGACAAACTGAAAAATGCGCTAAGGTTTATGTTAAGTCTGATTTTCAATATCATCAATAGTATCTTGATTTTAGTATGACGTGTGACTTATATAGATGGAAAGCTCTTAATGGGGCTCCACTCGTGATGCCAATTTTTCTGTTTTGGCCTTAGATTTCAAGATTCTCCAATTTATGCTCATTTCCCGTTTTAATTTATTTTTTTCTATAGTTGTAAAATCTCATGCTTTCCTTTATTTCCGAAAATCACATTACCGAAAAACAATTTTCATTTCTCATTTTTCGTTTTCAGTTTTCATTTTCAGTTTACAGTTAAAAAAACCATACCTGGGTTCGTTTATCTTCGTTGAAGCTAAGATTTCGAATCTTGATCTCGCCTCTATTTGTAGTCATTTCATCTAATATTTCAGCATGACACACCGTCACTTCATCTTCATCGTTCTTGCTATCAACACCATCGATTTCCTGATTATATATTCATGTATCTTCTCATGAATTTATAAAATAAGAAAAAACGATACGCTAAGTGAGAAACATCATATGAGCAAACGTACCCTAAGACTAAAGCTGGTATGTCGTGATGGACCACCCACAGTTTCTTCATACTCGGCTGCATCCAGTTCACTCAAATGATAAGGGTGAAACAGCTTTGGTAGAATGTGTTGTCGTATGGTTATCAGAAGGAAGAATGGAACAGGGAAAAGAATCCCCGCAATAGGTATCCATGTTACACCGAAACACGTAAGGAAATACACAATCTGGAAGATCGTGAACATGACAATGGTTCTATATGGCACAGATTCAACAAAAGAAGCATGAACCCTTTCAAGAACCCTGACAAATTTTGATAACATTGATATAAGTAATAAGGATGACTTGGAATGCAAGAATGAAATGTTAATTGTTAACTCACTTGTATCTTCGACTATGGGGAACGAAAATAAGCAAGATTCTTTCCCAGAATTGGTTTCCAGGAAGACTGTCGATGGCCATGTAAGCAAAATATCCCCATAAAACCGATGTGGGTATCAATTTTATTAAGGGCATGGCACATATAGACACTGCTAAGAGAATCGACTGTAGAAAGTTGCTGACCCTTTGCTCATTGACACGAACAGGTAAGTAGGCATCGATGTGTTTCTCAGGATCAAATTTCTCCTTCATGTTTTTTCCTTCGATTTCTACATTCATGACTGCTTCCTGCAAGTCTCGTAGTTCTTTAACTATTACATTTGTCTGCAATGAAACAAAACCAATTGAAAAGATTCAAGGAGATCGAAATTGAAGATAATGCTTGTACGAATAATAGATGGAAATTTTACAATTGGGGAGTTGTCGATTTCTATGAACACGTTTTGCATCTTGTTGTACATTTCAGAATTACTAGCTTTCTGTTTTATGCTTTCATTGGCACTCTCCACCATCTTCTTTTTGATAAACTAGAAGTAAACCATTTAAAATCCATTAGTGAATGCAGAAATCAAATGTTAAGGAATAATTTTCCCCCTTAGATGATCACTTACCTGTCTTTTAAGAACTGCTAGGCTTTTAGAGTGCATGGGGGACTGAGGCAAGACACCATTTGACGGGGGTAGTCCAATTAATCCACAAAGCAATGTCTAGGAAAAAAGATTAAATAATACAAGAAGTTAAAGTTTGAGGGCTAACAAGGGTAAGGGGTTGTTCCTTTTTTACCTTAATGAGCTTAACGGGTTAAGCACTTAATCATGACTGTTTCTTTTATACTTAATATGGACAGAATGACTTAATGGATTAAGGCATTAAGCATAAATTACTTGGCTTAATGAATTAAGATGCTAATCATTTACCTATTTTTCTTTCTTTGTTTTCCCTCCCAACTTATCTCACGTCCATGAATATTGTGAATGACTGAAATCTAACTTTTGGTATGTAAAGGCAAAATGATCATTTAGTTTCATTAAGACGGTTTATTTAGTCTAGAAAAAGAAACTTAATGGGAATTAAAAGAAAAAAAAAAAAAAAAACAGCCCCTAAATCAAGATCCATAATAACAATAAATAATTGCTAGGTACCATAAATCCAAGTAGGAAAACGTCATAATGATAAGCTGATGGATTCTTGAGACTGAATTCTTTTTGTTGAGCCAATTGTGAAGCAACACTATGATCAAAGAAATAAAGCCCGGCTATCATAACAGCCGGGATGAAGGCAGCCAAGATATAAACCGGAGGAACCTTGCCCATGTCCTACAAGTCATTATAAGAAACTAAATATTATGCTGCAAAAAAATCCACCAAATTAAACAGAAATTTGCAAAGATGTACCTTGATTACAGTCCAATGGTATAAAGATTCAGAATCCCATAAGAGTGGGCTTAAGAGCCTTCTTGGAACACCAGATGGAATTTTGCTTGGTACACAGAAAGAGAGTGCTGTCCACACTACAACCATCAATGGAACCCCATAGTCTGCTATGAAGCTTCTAACACACCCTGTATTGAGTATTAACAACAATAACTAACCACATGTTAAGATGATATAGAAAATAGCTAAGCCACCAGGATGCAATAAACTTGATATACCTGCTCCATACATCCAGGATCTTGCTCTCCTACTTCTTAATGCAGTGTATAGAAGTCCAAACGAAAATATAATACCAAGCAAGCCATTAGTGTAAAGCCACTGAAATTGATCTTTGAGTAAATTTGGTTCATCAGATTTGGGAGTTTTGAACTCGCTCACCAGTCCCTAGTCAACAAAACCAGAATTAGTCTAAAGTCTAAACAAACTTGAAATATTTTCTCAAATTATCATCATCGGAACCTTTTTTTTTTCTACATGGCTAAATACCTTGATGGCCTCTTGAATGAAAAGTACAGAAATTAACATCCCAAATGTTTCCCCTGCAATCCTCGTGAATCTAGTGATAATAGCACAAGCGTTGAAAATCGCCAAAAGAAACAAGAGTAGAGCTGTCCATGTGCATACCCTACAAAAGTTGTATATACATTAATTGGTATCAACATATTCAAAATTGGAAGATGAAAGAATTTGTGAATATTACCATCCTGCCCAAGCTAAGAATAGTTGTTGACCCAAATCTTGCCTTCCTTTAGCAAAATTATACAAGTATGTATACATTATGATTGTAGGTTCTGCAACTCCAAGTATAAGAAGAGGTTGACCACCAAGAATAGAGTGTATGATGCCACATATAGCAGTAGAAGCCAAAGTCTCCACAGTGCTCAAGCTTCCATCTAGATATTATATATATGTAAAAAAAAAAATGATACTTTTGTTGATATACAAAAACATAAATGTTTTTATACATGGAGAGTTAAAAGATGGTTAAGAAAGTGTCGTGCCTGTATCTCTGCTAAGTTGCTCTCCAAAAGCAATGACGGGAAGTGCAGAAGCAAAGAAAATGTAAGCTGTTGGAGCTAATATCCTACAATGTCATTGAAAGTTCAGAATCGATTAAAAGGGTAGTATAATTTTCTATATGTTGATGGAAAATTAAGATTAAAAGATAGTAAGTGTATTGAAATGAACATTTAGATCAGTTAAGTATATATAACTTACCCAATTCCGGACTTAATACCATCAATCCAATCTTGTTTGTAACACGATGCTCTTCCTCTAATGTCCCTTGCTATCCCTCTGAATGGAGATTTCATGTTCTCCATTCCTGATATCATTGAAAAACAATCCCATCAGTTTTTACTTTCAGTAAAACTATATATAAATAATAAAATAAAAAAAGAAGATATTGTTTTATCATCAGATTTCATGTTCACCATTCCTAATATCATCCATAATATAAACAGTAGGAGCAATGAGTTTAGAAGTTGGAAAATTTCAAGGCAGAAAGCTCCTTCTTAAAGCGTCCGCCATGCGCGGATAGGTCAGGATCCAGTGCGCACAGCTTCACATTGTTACCGTCTACAACTGGTCCCAGCCAATAGTTAACAGCCATTTCTTTGACGACGTGCGAAGTGGAAACTTTCAAACCCTTTCGCCAATAACTTATAAATTTTGTAAACAAGAGACATACATTTCAATTTAAATATTATGTAACAAATTAATCAACTCTAGTGATACAAGCAAATTTTGGGCCCTGTGCAAATAAAAAAATGAGGCTTCATTGGGCCGGGCCTGTATACCTAGAAAATTAAACAATTTTTAATCAACTAATTTTCTATGTAACAAGTTAATCGATTATTAAGGTGCTGTTTGTTTTTTCTGAGGTAAAATGTCTGCAGTCTGCGGACCACATCTGTAAACCTCTGCAGTAGAACAGGTGGACCAAACGTCTGCAGTCTGAAAAAAGAAGACTGTTTGTTTTTTTAACATCTGCGAGCTATTAAAATAAACTGAAATCTAAATAAACTGATTTTTTAAAACTTCAAAGCGAATTTTTTATATATTTTTATGACTTTATTATAAATATATAACGAATCTAGATCAACTTTTATGTATTATTATATAAAAAATAAAAATAAAAATGGTATTAATTCATATACATATTTGATAAAAACCAACAACTTTGATTGCAAAGTTATAACTAAACATTATAATTAGTGATCAAAGAATTTGATACATAAATAGATGGAAATAAACTTCGATTTTTTCAAATAAATCTATTAAAAACGTACGATAAATATTTTCTCGAGAAATTGATGATACTCTATTAAATAAAGTTTTACAAAATTTTGGCAAAAAAATATAAGAATATATTATGATTTTTTTTTTCATATTTATATAAACAACTTCAACGACTATTATTATAATAAATTTTTATTTATAAATTTGTTAAAAATATCATGTTTGTATCGTCAAATGTTTTTTTTTAAGTTTTGTAATTTTTTTTTCATATTGTTTATCATTAATAAAGTTGGAAAAAATATAAATTAAAAAAAAAAACTTAAAAAAAATTAAAATATATATATGTTTTTTTAAGCTAGAAGATGTCTGAAGATGTTAGAAGACTCTGGTCCACATCTGCGCCAAGAAGAGGACGCGCAGACATTTTTAGGTCTGCAATCTTCAAAAAAACAAACAGTCTGCGAAGACTAATATCTACGCGTGGTCTGCGCGGCGCAGACAGAAGACGTCTCGCAGATCTGTAGACAAAAAACAAACACTACCTAAGTTTTTGTACGTATAACAACTTTTATTATAGTGGCAATAATGGATCCAGAACAAAAATATTGGAGTCCGTAATATAATTAATGTAATATGAATGGTATTATTTTAAAATTTTAAAATTAAAGTATTTATTCTAAATTAAATGGTGGGACCACCAGGATCAAGCCTTTTGTAATTATTTTTCTTCTTTTTTGCTTTCTCTCTTCCGATACGAGGTTGTGTTTCATTCTTTTTTTTAGCTGGTATCATCTTAACATTATCGTCATATAAATCAATACAAAAGGTTATGGTCCTACTTATTCATTTGACTTTTGGGAGTAGGAGTTTTTATTTTTTATAATCTATGTAAATTTCTTTGTAGAGGAAAGTTTAACAGTAAACACATACATAAGGCTCGAAAAAACACTATAGTACATATATTTCTATAAAAGAAATTCCTATATGCAATCAACTCTATAAAATTTAATGGAACATATATAAATATTTATTTAAGAATTATACAACTTTTTCATTTTCCCCGTTAAAGGGTTCAAAGGTCATTGAACTTCAAATATATTAGATTTCATCTAATGAATGATAATGAGGCTTGCTGCCTCATTCAACTCTTCCATTGTTGATATTCTAAAGTTTGTTGCAAAAATCAAAGTTATTTAGTCTTTCACGTCTGAAAGAAAAGTCTTACTATTTTTCTATGTATAGAAATTTATTAGATGTCTAAAATAAAATTCAAACTTATAATCAGTTTGATCTTCTAATGTTGTAATCATGGAATGCTTGTGACCACATGACTAAATGTATAATGTCTATTGTTGAAGATTACAAAAGAAAAAGAATATTGCTTTTGGAAATCTTTCCCATTGTATTTGAAAGCAACTTATCATTATTTTTGTATAAAGTATGAATTGTTATTAATAGATGTTTCATAATGGACAAGTTTATTTTGGTTAACGAATCCAAATAAGTACTTAATTCTTATTAAAATGAGCCTAGTTGATATGGTCACAGTAATATGTGGTTTTACTAATCAACTACTCCGCACATAATAATTTTTTTGTCGTACACAATAATTTATACTTTGGATGATTATACAATTTGTATATTGTACAACCTATAATACATAAATTGTTATGTATAACAAAAATTTATTATGTATATTGGAATACATTATGGACAACTTTCCATTGGTTTGATCCATTTAGCTCATATAGATTATTTTCTTGTGTATTGGAAAGAAATATAGATAATTATGTTTCTATTTTAACTTTTAATAGATAAATCTAATGTATATCACACATTCTTTCTCAAAATAGCAACATCAAAATACCAAAGAAAGGAGTAAATTACATGAATGGTCCCTATGGTTTGAGTAATTTGCGCGTTTGGTCCCTAACTTATTTTTTTAACTCGGAAGGTCCCTACTGATTGTTTTTATTACGTGTCTGGTCCCTATTGTTTGTTTTTATTATGCGCTTGGTCCCTGTCATACCTAAAAAGACTATTATTTAAATAGGAAAAAATAATGCAGTACGTAAGGTAAGGTGAGAAGGGTGAGATTAGGGGTGTGTTTATTTAAATAAATTAAAAAATAAAGGGAAAAATAGATTTTTTAAGTAAGATAGGGACCAAGCGCGTAACAAAAACAAACAGTAGGGACCTTCCGAGTTAAAAAAAATAAGTTAGGGACCAAACGTGCAAATTACCCTAAACCATAGGGACCATTCGTGTAATTTACTCCAAAGAAAATTGACAACTTAGATTTATAATCGGTGGTAGTCATTAATTCCAAAATATTTGGAGGATAATTGTTTTATGGTTCTTTCCATCGTTCAAGTTTGCAATATAACAACAAAGAGGAACTATCACCCAACTGAAAAACTTGAAGAGAAAATGTTCAAGTTGCAAAGTTAGCAACTTGATTAAAGTAAAAAGCTTTTAGGAAGAAAAAAGTTAGATTTGTACAGACTACAGAATATTATATGTCGACCCCCGGTTTGGGCCATGTGGAGAGTCGATACCCACTTGTATAGCAATCACCAATTGTTGTTTGTTTAGAAACAAATGAGACAAGAGGGGCAAGCCAATCCAAACAAAATATCCATATCTTAGTTTGACACATTGTAGGCCTAGTGAACTGGCAGTAGGCTATATTTTATTACCATGATCCATATTTTCTGAAATATAATAAGTGGGCATCATTTGTTATCCGGCTCGATCATTTAATAAAATCAAAAACAAATTTTAAAGATTCTGTTTTTTAATTACATGTAGTTTTTTTTTAAACATATATAAAAAGACATTGGACATTGCATATCATTTTGGGTGATTTGTATATAAGGTATGTTTTTTGCCGATAACTAGAAACCACAACTTTTATTTGTGTAGAAGTATTCAATAAAAATAGTTATTTAAAGTATATAAAATGAAAGTTTAGTTTTTACCCACAATTGAAAATTTTTAGTTCAAGTTTTCTCTTAAAATCTAAAAGTTATAAATTATTAAAAACTCTCAAAAGCTAGTCATGGAATATCACTATAAAAAATCACATCAATTTATCATCATATTCTTAAAAAACCAAACCAGCGAGCGTGTTTGACACAGATCGTTTGAAAACTTCTAGCGTTTGATAAAATGCTTCATGTTGAACAGAAAATATTGTTTGGCACCATAATTTTAACGTTTAGTTTAAACAAAACGTTTCAAATCCAAATGTTACTTCATATAGCGTTTAACAAAACGCTACAGGATACAAGCTATCTCCTACCTGCTACCAACTAATTTTACTGAACATGCCCTATGTCTATTGTCTCAAAACGGTTTTTTTCGGTTAAAATTTTTTCTCAATTTTATTTTTGTTCAGTTTTTTTACACTCCCTATACAAAAACTTTGAAACATCATCACCTAGCAACAAGCTTGGCATTCTGTTTTTATTGCAGAAACACAATTACAAGCAACATTCAAAAAACTGATCCGACTATTTTGGTGACTATAGTCGGTTTCGTAAATAGCTTTATCACCCAATTCTTATCACAGATAACACAGCTATAAGTCTATAAACATAGATGGCGTATTTCTTTAAACGTTTTAAAATATGGAACCCGTAGACCAAAGTCAACAAATCATTATATTCAAGAAAGATCTTCAACAAAGGAGGGTTGTTCACGTGCATATCTTCAATCGATTACACACAACACACAATACAATCTGTTTTGTTCTGTCCTATGTCATCCTTACTTTCAAGGCACTGGATTAAAAATTCGACAACTTTTAGACCAACTAAGAGAATGACAGAAAACTTACTAACTATTTAAAGCAATCATAATCGATTTGAGACGGGATGCAACTTTCAACACATAACCCAATTATACGTATAAAATCACAAGAAAAAAAGACCACGGAAGGAAATCAAACCCTGTGTTTGAAGGAGGATACTCAACTTTCAAGTGATTCAACAAAACATATGTTACTACTGGTTAGATTAATAATATAACCTGAACATGAACATGAAGATGAACATGAACATGAACATGATTCTTCTTAGTCTTTGTTGGCAACATGTAAATCCTCCAGCTTTGATGCAACCACTTCAAGGGGTGAAGGTGAAGAGTGCTTGTTTGGGCCATTTAAAGCAGTTGTGGGTGTGGGTGGCTGCGTCTGCCATATTCTTACGGTTCCATCTTCTGAGCCGGATGCATATGATTCACCTCCCGGTGAGAAGCGTACAGAATGGACCGGACCATGGTGACCTTTGCAGATTGCTACAAACACAAATAAATAAATAAATAAATAAAACAATGTACTCTAATTAATCTTAACCTTTTTATCCCACTATCGCTACAAACACAACAAACTTTCATTGTCTTCTCTTATTATAGCATCATACTTTCATTGCTTTCTATTATATCATTGTACTTCCAATTTTTTTGTTTTGAAAAAAATCTACCCAATTATAACTCTGTAATTTCCATTTGTTATATCTATCCAATTATAATAGCGAAAGTTCATTTGTATTTAGATGAAATTGTTAAAATGCTAGATTTTTCAATGTACAATGTTGTAATAGGAAAAAAATAAGATGATAAAAACAACAAAATGTAAGAAATTTGCTTACCAATCTCTTCGCCAGTATTAAAATCAAAGAGACGAATCCACATGTCTTCCCCTCCAGCAATAAACTTATTACCAAACTTTGGTTCCAATGATGCTGATTCCACAGTACATGGCATATCATAGCTTTTAACCAGTCCAAAACTAAAAGCAAAAAAAAAAAAAAAGGATTTTAAAATTTATGAGATATGTATTTTTTACAGATTATAGAAATTGAGAGAGTTTATTTACAACTTACTGATTTGCATCCCAGAACTTGACACTAGATCCATCTGCAGTGGTAATATAACGTCCATCTTTACTTACTTCAGCACTTGTCACAGATGATTTTGTTTCTAGTGTATGGACAATTTTGCCACTTCTCACATCCCATAGCCTAAATATTTATTACATGTGTCAAAATGGCCAGATTTGCTCAAAACATATAAAGTTTTAGGGCAGGTCAATGCAAGTTGATTTGACCCATTAACACTTTTTTATTCATTTTTTGAATTTTATTAGTAACTTCTAGGGCAAAAATAAAACATTATTTTTTGCAATCAAAACCACAGAAGTTCCCAGCAATTAATTAACCATTTTGACCTAATATATCCAGTTTCATAACAGTTATGAAGTATTGAGTTAATTGCATACCTTACACCTCCTGAATCAGAGCAAGAGCTTAATATAGTTTGGTCACTATGAAGCCATGCAACCGTCCTCACAGATCCAGGGCTAGACTTCTCAACTTCCCGTGGGGGTGCATCCGGACGATTTAAATCAAATATACGAAGTATCTTCTCAAAACCACCCGTCAGAAGAAGATGTGTATCCTATATATTAAACAAGATTTGTTATTTTTTATATTATTTATAAAAACAAAAAAAATCACGTTTTTAGGTAAAAATATGAAATTACCTCGGAGAAGGAACATGCCCGAACAATATGTTTGTGGTCAAATGAGTGTAATTCATCCCCAGTTAATGCATCCCATATTTTCCTGCAAAAAGACAGATCAATTATATTAAAAGCATGTTACAATTTCAATTTATCAATAACAAGTACAGAAAAATTCTTTTTGAAGTGTGCATTCTAGTGACAATAATTATTGTTTCATGATCTTTTATACCATATACAAATTAGATAAGAAAATGTTTGACTACATACGCAGTGAAATCAGCAGATGCTGAAGCAGCACGAAGGGCGTTAGTGTCCAAACAGCAACTCCACACTGCACCTTTATGCCCCTCAAAAGTTCCAATCCAGTCCCCAGTCTCTCCATTTCTAAGCATAGGAGTGGAATCTGGAAGACAAATCTATGATTGCTTAAAACAAAGGTTTGTGATGTAATTTCACATTTATCACAGTAATCAACTATCTTACAAGTTAGTAACTTACAACTACTTTTCACCTAAAAACCGATTAGTTTGACCCTCATAATCAGAAAAACAAAACAACAACCAAATTATCAAAACACTCACAACTGATATAAGCCTCCTAGCCATTAAAGATACTATAACTATACTATAAAAGACAAAGTTATGATCATTCAACAACAATAACATGTAGGCATTTAAGAACAAAAACTGGAATCGAGTTTCACTTAATTACAGCATGATCCTTTCAACATTTATATTAGAGCAATGAAGTGAAAGACAGATGTATTTCATAGAGCAATAATATCATGAAGCAAAATACAGAGCTCAAAACACGACATACCCTTGCTGGCACTGATGAGGAAAAACCCATCTGGAGTAATCGGGCTGTAAAACAAATCCACCACCGGGCGAGAATGACCATGGCATACAAGAGGGACAGCCACTTTCTTCTTATCCATTATATCTCTTAAATACTAAAACTACACAAATTAAAACCTAAAATACGATCTTTTTTTAGTTTCAAACCCAAATCACAGTCCTCGATCCTAATTCTAGAAATCAAGGACTTATAGCCTATAAATCGACAACTGACCTACAAAAACTCGCACAATTGCCTGAACAAAATGTCTGATGTTCGTATCAATAAACAAAATCTTACAGAAATACTTTATAATATACGTGTAGAATACGAGGTAATGACGACAATCAACGCAGGTGGGAAACCTAATTTTTGAAGTTCTGATCGCTTCTGTCTGATGAATCCACACCTCCTAAACCCAACATCAATGGAGAATAGATCAAACTATTTATGTGAATCAAAACTAAGAAAAAAAGGAAAAAATATATATAATACTAAGATATTAAGATATGCGTATAGAGGGCTAGGCGCAAGGCTGCCGTTGAGGCATTGCCTGAATTTATAGTGTCCAAGCTCGGGCTTTTCTTTCTCGGTGATGGTCCCTAATGTTTCATGGCTGTGTCATTAAACCCCCTTAACCTTTTGAGTATCCATCTATAGTCCGTGTTTCTTTTATTTACAAACATACCTCCTGTCTTCATCTATAATCAATTAATCACACTAAAAAGTCGATTTGTCTTAGAGAGGGGGGTCGGGAATGGATTCCCCCGCATCCACTGTGTCTCCCTGTTTTTCGAGATTTTGGGGATGAGGCTCACCTTTAATGATGATACTATACAACATTTTCAAGATTGTGTCGTGTACCATTCTCATGCCCATCTCCTAATTGAAATCCTCGGGGCTCGAACTCTAAACCCATATATTAGGAAGCTTCTTACCTAGTAAATCACTATGTTCATGGTTTAATTTATGTATTATATAATGATATATTGATTTGCATACTCGTTATATTTTATTTCATATATGTTGTATCCCGTTATGAATCCAAATCACCATAATCATTTATACATAAATTTCAACATCTTTATAAATGATTATAAATTTTTATAATAGGTCACTATTAACATGCATTGCATAAAAGAGAAAGTGAAAAATTAAATTGAATTGTATGACAAATGTAAAAGAGTTTATGTTAAAACAATTTGCAGTTAATTTTAAATAACATAATACAAAATGTGATAAGCATCTAAACACTTTGTATTACTTCTTAACATATTTAATTCATTTTATTAATATCATCTCCCTATAGTTTACTCGTTGAGCTTCTTAACCATACATTAAAGCTTTATGAGAAAGTGTTTGAAACTAGAATAAGACAAATCGCATTAGTAGCTAAAACCCAATCCAGCTTCATGCCTGGGAGGTCCACGACTGAGGCAATCCATATATTTAGATGTCTTAGGGAGAAGCTTGAGAAAGAAATAAGGGCCTTCATATAGTGTCTAACCTAAAAAATCCATGTGATAGTGTTCCAAAGGAGACTATCTGGATGAATTGGGAGCTATAAAGGTCTAAAGGTGTTATATTAGGGTCATACACAACATGTGTCCGAACTACAGTTAGCGATATAGAGTCTTCCCCTATCGGAATTGGGCTTCTCCTAATTTCGTCACTTAGCCCTTACATGTTTCCCTAACTATGGATGAAGTATCACACGATATGTATGGAGAAGTACTATGATGTATGCTTTTTCATGCGATATTGTATAGGTTTGCATAGACTATGATTGAGTTAAATACTAGGTTGGACACCTAGGGAAGGGGTGTTAAGAGAAAAAGGACTTACGATCAACACAAGTAAGATTAGGTATATTAGGTGAAATTTTTTATGGGGGGAGAATGGAAAAGGGGTAGAAGTTTTGTATTGATGAGCAAATCCTACAACTGAATGAAAGCTTCAAGTACCTGGGGTTTATGATTCATATGGATTGGGTGTTGAGGATAATGTTACTCACCGTATTAAGGGAGGATAAATAAAATGGAGAGTAGACATTAAAGTCTTATGTGATAATAAGGTCCCATTGAAACTTAAGTGGGGATTCTATAGGGGTTGTAAGGTCGACTGTGTTGTATGTATTTGAATATTGGTCGACTAAGAAGGATCATGAGAGGAAAATAAAAGGTTGTTGAAATGAGGATGTATAGTGGATTTGTAGTAGAACCCTATTGGACCAAGTTCCAAACTTGATTATTAGAAACTCGTTATGAATGGTGATAATCAACGAGAATTTAAAGGAAGGAAGATTGTGGTGATATGGACATGTCTGTATGAGATAACTAATTATTACTATTAAGATGATGGAGGTAATTATTATGGGTGGGGAGAGGATGAAAGGACTCCAACGAAGAAAATGAATAGAAAAAGTGATGTTAGACCTGGAGGAGGTGGGTCGTTATGAGGACATGACTTCAAATAAAATGGTGTGGACACATATGGTCATAGAGTTGAGTAGTATATGAATAATCCTACGAGTTTAGCCCTTGTTTGTACCTTTAGTCCTTCAAGTGGGCTTTTGTTTGTGCTGGATGTGAATCTGACGCTTGTTCCCTCTTACTATATACATGTATCTGCTAAAAACTATTCAAAGTCTGTAATTAGTGTTTTCTACATGCTTTATTATTATAAATTTGCTTAAATTGCCCGTACATGTAAACCTTTCACCTTTTAGGGTGACCTTTGTTTATGTTTGCATCCATATTTCAATCATTTGCTTTCCATCTTGTTATATGTTGTATTTGATATTAATTGATCGCGATATTATGTCATGTGTTTATTCCATGTATTATATCTATTGTTTGCTTAAGTGTCATATATTTATATAATTTACACATGTCTACCATACCCTCCTTATATCTATATTTACTGTTTATACCTTCTTTTTCTTTAGTCGTTTTATTTTTCTTATATGCGAGATGGCGGACCAATGTGTGTTATGAAGAAGATCTTAGTCAACAAGACACATTTAACTATTTTAATTATTTAATTACTCGTTTTTATTTTTCTTTTATGAAAGATGACAGATTAATATGTAAGAGTCTTAGACACACAATTTGACCATTTTTTAATTGTTTGTTGGAGTTTGGGAGTAGGTTTGGCTGCCCACCATCTTATCTCCCATGTACTTTATTCTTATGAGACTCGGGTTATGTTGTTGTTGTATGACTAATATATCATAGAGACTTTTTAAGAAGATGGATCAAAATCGTATATTTAGTAAATAACAAGGACTCAAGTGCTATATACGAACATATAATGATATAATTCAACAATAGAGTCCGATCGTCTTCCGATTCTTCGAGACCCTCTTCTTTCACCATCTCTGTACATAAATATCTCAGTCCGTTGTACTCGAACTTGCTAATCGAAAGACATTAATCGTCCCAGAGAGATCCAGCGAACGGAAACGCTAATTCGGCCGGAGGATTCCTTATTCAAGTGGCGGGAAAATGTCGGGAAAAGGAGCAAAAGGTCTGATAATGGGGAAAGCATCTGCAGTGAATGGATCAAGCAACAGAGATAAAGACAAGAAGAAATCCGTCACTCGCTCTTCGCGCGCCGGTCTTCAGGTCACATCTCTCTCCCTTCTCTCTCTGTATGTGTGTGTATAACATATACCCAAAACAAACACACGCAAACGTATGTATGTATATCAAATGAATACTAGTGATTACTGGAAGTAAAATACATTTTCGAAGACTCTGTTGACCTCATTCCAGTTGTAATCAGTAGCTGCAGAGTCTGAGATCTAGTCCGATGAGTTTGTCTACGCGAACTGTTTTTCATGAGAATCGATCCGTTCATCTCCGACACGGAGGTTGTCTTGCGATTTTATTCAAAATCAAGTTAATTTGACTTTTTACACACTTCTAACACTCTGTTCTTCTTACACACGATCGAAGCTATACGAATGGTTTTCTTCGCAAAATCCAAACACAACTGTGTAGATATGCATTAATGAATAGTTATAGACACGTATCTGATCTCGATTAATTTTTGTAGAAATACTTCTTTGCTTTCTAAAAAGAACAACGGTTAAGTTTTTTCACATCAAAGTGGTTTTGTTAAAAATATATTTTAATTATAGTACTTTGCTATACTATTTGAATGAGTTAGTGATTCGATGATTTCGATCTGTGCAGTTTCCTGTGGGTAGAGTTCATCGTCTTCTGAAGATGAGAGCTATGTCTAATGGAAGAGTTGGAGCAACTGCTGCAGTCTACACAGCAGCTATACTAGAATACCTCACAGCTGAAGTGCTTGAATTAGCTGGAAATGCAAGCAAAGATTTAAAAGTGAAGCGTATAACACCAAGGCATCTGCAACTTGCTATCAGAGGTGATGAAGAGTTAGACACACTCATAAAAGGAACCATCGCTGGTGGTGGCGTTATTCCTCACATCCACAAATCACTCATCAACAAATCCTCCAAAGAGTAAAGTGTGTCACCTTATATGTATTTCCGTTGTATCTTTTTTTTTTTTTTTTTTTTTTTTTTTTTGCTGTTTTCAATGAACTAAGAACCATGTTTTGAAGATTTTCATGAATCTAATTTCAAAATTCAAAATCTCATATTCACAGATTTTATGTGATGTAGTAAAAGAAGCTTAAACCAGATGAGTCCAAAAACTAGATTACAATAAATAACAGGAGAAAGAACCTTTTGAGGTGTGAAATGAGTTACAACTTCTATGAATTTTCATGTATAAAACAAAACTATTTATCTGCTTTACTTAACAGTTTGCTGATGAAGGGTAACATTGCTGCAAGCAGCACCTTTGGGCACTCCTCATGAGGCAGATGACCACAACTTGATATTGCAACTAGTGTCTGCAAAAATATAACATTTGATTATTTTGTCATAAAACTATATAAAGAAAATTATAAGGAATGGTGCTAGATTTGTTATATACTCACAGAATTTACAAATTTAGATGACATGGCTTGAACAGATTTTAGAGGTACAAGGGCGTCTTCAGCTCCTGCAATGACCAAAACCGGGGTGTCTTTCACTGCTTTTACTAATAAGGATGCATTTTGCTCTGAGAGGACTGTATCAGATGATAATCTACCAATTTCATACAAGGCTTCATCCCAACCTTCTACACATAGTGGAGCCTACATCATAACTCCCAATTAGAATACCATAAAAAGATATACGCCTAGTATGCAAGAATTAGCATTCCAGTTTTACTGGTTTGTTTATTATAGCAACCTACTTTTGTTTCTCTCTATTACAACATCATATTCTGAAAATTTCACCTAATTATAGCAATGTCATTTAGACATTGTGCCATTTTCATTGCTATAATATGGTAAAATCTTCAAAGTACAATGCCATTTTCAAGGTTTTATGTTTTTGTATAATATACCTTGTAGAGGCTTAGCACATCGGTTGTTAGCTTGGTAGCATCATACCATGCTCTTCGATTAAAAACTTGACAAATTTCTGTCCGAAGTAGAGAATGAACCAAATGCTTCTTTCCTAAAGAAGTGCGCATCAGTATTCTAGCCAACCCAGGAACCACTTCTCTTGACAAACTTACTGTCAGCAAAACCACCCCCTTAATTTCCACCTGTAGAACAATTTGCTTTTCACTAATCTCAAAACTTATAACTTAATAAAAAAAACAAAGATTGTTGGCATGCATAAATTTTATATAAGCTTACATCAACAGAGCTTAATGATGACTGGACCCTTTGTGCTGCCTTTAATGCGAGCAAGCCTCCATCATCATGACCAACAAGCACAATGGAAGAAAGCCCAATCTCTTTACAGAAAGAAATAAGCATGTCCACCTGGAAATTATTTTGAATACGAAATTAAGATAAAACTCTTGTACTGTGTTTGGCATGCACTGGACTGAGACTGATGTGGACGTTACCTGGGTATCAAGCATGTAAGGATTGGGTAATTTATTAGCCTCCCAATCCTCTCGCCTTGGTCTAGAGGTCAAACCCCAACCAGGACGATCAAAAGAAGCAACAATACAATTCACCTGTCGAGATAACAAACCCATTACATGCCTCCATGAAAAGACTCCCCCTCCAAAACCATGCACCAAAACAATCCCAAACTGCCTATTAACTTCACAAACTTTTTGACCAAATCTATCCTCATTAGTTCCTTCATTATCTTCAGAAAATACAGGGGAACTCGTGCCATCTAGTAATGGAGCGTAAAGAGAAGAATCTTGAATTTGAATGCTATAACTCCTTCGAAGATGATGTTGTGTCTTTGAAATTGCACGTAAAGATGGATTTTCAAGAAGAGTTGTAGAGGATAAAGTGCGAGAAGGTGGAGTAGGTGTGCAAAGTTTGTAGTGGATGCTCAAATCATTCCAAACCATGAATAAACTATCCACATCAGCTAGTAATCTAACTGGAAACTCTCCATGGCTATGACCTACACGTTTTCTTCTGATTTCATTGTCACTTTTCTGTGCCCTGTCAGCAGCAGGAGTTGAAGATCTTGAAACTTTAGCATAACCGATTGAAAATAAAATTTGGCTCAAAAACACCTGCGTTGTTAAGTAGAAACAAAATCATTCAAAAAAGATGCATATATGATCATATAAGTTACTATTATAACGTACCGATTCAGGATCAACTCGGTTGAACATGAGCTTCCTTCGAGCTCTGCAACTTGTTCGATAAGCAATAACAGTATGACCAAGAGCAAAAACAACAGATGATAAGAACAATACATGCATTCCCCATGACCTTTTCAGATGAAGCCTTTGTTTTGAAAGAGAAGATGAGGCTTCAGCTTCAAGCTGGGAATTGACTGTGAAGACACACGCTTTAACTGATAGAACAAGTACTGAGAAAATGGAGCATAATGTCACTGTTCCAAGATATTGGCCATGTGAGAGCACAGGGCCATCGTACATCATATAAACACCTACAGTCACAAAGAAATTTTAGATAAAGCTCTTCTAGTTTCTAACTAAAGTTAAAAGTTCAAGCTCGTGCTGAAAACAGCAGAAAATAATGCAAAATGCATAGTCATGTATAATGTATTGATGATTAGGAATGAAAAAAAATGCAGGATTAATCAAAGTTGCGTACAGGTGATAATGAGAGATCTGATAGCGGAAACCACAGGAACGTCGATCAATGAACTTCTGAAATCGTATCTACGCAAATGTTCCTTGAAACTGTAGCATCTAAAGCAGGTAAAGCTCGAAATTAGAACAGAAGGAACCAATATATCACCAATCGCAACCAAAATTGGAAGCCATAGGATCAATAACGACGCCAGCATCACAATTAAGAAATGTAGTGTCCGTATAAATCTCCGTATCTTCTCAAATGATCCTCCCTTTTTTCCGGCAGCCATGGTTGTTCGAATTTCTCAAGTTTTCTCTAATTATGATAATCGTTGTTTCAGGTAGGTCCAGGAGTGTTACGAGATTGAAGAACCAGAAACGTGAAAACCCTAGCCGATGCCAGAACAAACGGCGGCGTATCAGCCATTTGACGCTCGCCGGTGAATTAATGAACGTCCTCTCTTTTCTCCTATGTGTCTTAAGGTTTTAAATGGAAAAGAGTGTTATATCCATGGCTAGGGTTTGGTAGAAATGCTTGAAATCTGGTAGAAAATGGAAAAAAGGGAATCTGAAAAAGCTTCGTGTTGTCTATGAAACAGAGAGACGACGAAGTCTGGTAAATTTCGACGGAGGAGCTCTTTTGTTGTGATTCTCGTTTTCCAGTGAACCGGTGCATATTTTTATTATTAAAAAATTAAAATAATATAATAAAAAGAATATGCACTTTATGTCAATTTTTGTTGAGATATTCGAAGGATGTCAAAACTGAAATCCAACGTAGAATCGGGTATAAAAGATTGTGATTATAAAATCAAATAAACAAGATCTTATAAAAAATTTACATAGTTATAAGTTTAAAACATGAAAATGCATTTCCATATTGGTTGATCGTAAGAACATATCATGACATTAAGATTTTACAAAAATGACAACATTTAATCATTTACGATTCACAAAGTGTAAAAAACTGGTAAATAGTACGGACCGATTGGCAGTTGGCTAAAGATTTTGATAAAATGGGATTACATCGGATTATGTTTTTACGATCACGATATGCCAAACTCGATACTACTACTATCTATATCATTTTTCAGAGTTACAATAGTAGGATCTAGATAAGTATACACAAGTATTTCGATATAACCATAATTTGTTTTTGGATCTAACAAATGTCCACTTATTCCATCAAAAAGGGTCCATGAGTTAGTGTGTAACATCCCAAAATCACAATAAAATTTTTTATTTTTAATTTAGTAAAATCATTATTTTTTTAAAAACAACCAAGTCAAAAACAAAGTATTAAATAAAAATATCCCATCATCATAGTGTAACAAAATCTCCCAAACATATCATCGAAGGATGTCACACATTTGCTTTCTCCCGATCATTTGAAGTACCTGAACCATGAAACTTAAACTATAAGTCTAAACTTAGTGAGTTTTCCCAAAGTATCACACACAACCAATACAGATAACATAATGCATATATGAGCCTTCAGTCTGACTAGACCAGCTCGTAGGCCTACAACATATCTGGACCGCTCTTCGGGCCTTCGGCATGACTGGAGTGCCTTACATGCCTTCAGTTTATTCGGACTAGCATAGGTATCTTCGCATTCAACACAAAGTAGGACCGCCTCAACCTAACAAACCATAACATGTCGATCTATACAATAACAATCAATAATCGACAACGCATGTAATCATACAAATCTACCAATCGAACGCATACTCAATGAACACAGGTAATCATACAGATTTATCAATCTATCATATACTCAACATAACATCAATCCAATATATAAGGATAAATAATCCAGTGTGCCGACATTGGTGCTTTCGACCAACAAGTACAGTCACAAAAACTCACCTTACAGTCTAAAAAGATAGTTAAACACATCACGTCTCTAATTGTTGACTCTACATGTCACTTATATAACAAACAAAGATCTAGTCTCAAACTACTGCTCAAAATACCCCTAAGTCAAACTTGTTCAAAATCATGGTCAAGGTCAAGGTCAAAAAGTCAAAGATTTCCTTTTAGGTTGTGTACGCACAACGTACTCCCCTCTACGCCCAATGTAGAGGGTATCTTGCAAGATTACAAGCTTGAACCCTAGTACGCGCAGTGTACCTCCATGTATGCCCAGTGTACCAGAGTTAAACCCAAACTTTTCCATTAAGATCTTGTTTCATTAAGCCAAGCCACCAAACTTCATATCCATGTAAAATGGGGCGTCTTAATGGATAAAGTCTCTGACTTTATCTATTTTCATGCATTCAAGAGGGTAAAAGCTCAAACTCTTGGTCCCAAAGTTATCCAAAATCCCAAAACTCTTGCATGGCTCAAAGAGAATGCCAAAGCTCTCATTTTTATGAATCTATGAACTCAAAACTACATGACATGTACCTGTAGTAGCTCATATTCCACTAGATTAAAAAATGAGACCAAAAATGTACACAAACTCTAAACTAGCAAGATCTAAGCAACTTGCTCATCAAGATTCGAACTTTATACATCCAAATGATGCTTAAGGGTGAGATACTTCTGGATCTAGATAGTCTTGAGCTTCCAAGGTGGTTTCCTTTCCTTTTTATCCTTCAAGAACACCACAAAGCACTCTTTCATGCTCAAAATGCACACACAAAGAAATTAAGGTTTGCTAGGTACGAAGATCCATCAAGCAATCCCCATTCTTCAGTTTGGCACTCTTCTAGACCTTTGTAAGTCTCCAAGACCTGATTTTTATCATTTAAAGCTGTTAGATCTTGATTTTTGTCCCTTTCGTTCCTTATTCTTGAATGTTGCAATGGTTGGATCTCATAAAGTTTGCAACTTTATGAATCTACAGGTCAAGGTGACCTAGTAGTATCTTGGATCTGGTATATAATCAGGTTTTGATGTCATGCATACAGATTAGTCATTTTGACCTAATATGACATGTATGTCTAAAAAGCACCAACCTTTGGGATGGTTTAAGTGTTAGAATTACTTTTAGAAAGGATAGACTTCAGACCTTAAGTATTAAGGGTATTTTGGTTAAGCCCTTGCATTATCAAGCTTGTAATTTGGTTTTTTGGATCTTTTTGGTAGTCCTAATGGATAACGTTGAAAAATTTACCCTTCTTAATCACATTTTGGTCTAGATATGAGCTTTGGAGCTCTTGAAGTAAAAAAGGCAGTTGAATGTATTAAGTTGTTGGAACTCAGGTGAACACAATGTGTTGGCTAAGGTTTTCCCAACTATTTGGATGCTCACAGAACACAGCGTGGCCAAGGGGAACACAGCGTATTGGGTCAACATGGACTGTTGACCTTGACCGTTGACTTTGACCAAGTTGGACCTTGAGGGTATTTTGGGATCTTAATTAAATTGGTCACTTGATGTAGGTATCGTGTAGGGAGTTGAGATTCGGAGTCGGGCCTCACCAATTATGTTCAGTTTGCGTGGTGAGTTTTTATCACTATACTTACGGGTCGAAGGCACCAAGACCATCCCTTTTATATTGTTATCCCGGTCTATCGTATGATCGTATACTATAGTGATCTGTTAGATCTGTATATGTGATCTGTTAGATCTGCATCCTGGTAGATAGGATGATGATATGCTTAGTGATCTGTTTGATCTGTCTGTTTGTTTACTAACTGGTTATCTGTATGCTTATCTATTATATGTGCACATGTTTAGTCGGTGGTTGAGGCTTCACTGCTTTGTACGTAAGCCAACAGGTCGGGGCATTCCAACCCGATGGTTGAGGGCCTAGGGTATTCCTTATTGAGGATGATTGGACTCATAGTATGTTAGCATTCCAACCCGATGGTTGAGGTCCTAGGGTATTCCAACCCAGTGGTTAATTGGATCCATAATATGTTGGCATTCCAACCCGATGGTTGACTGGATCCATAGTATGCTTCTTTTATATATGTGTTATTTGCTGTGTGTGGGTATTTTGGGGGAACTCACTAAGAATTAGGCTTACAGTTTTGGGTTATGTTTCAGGTACCTCAGATGATTGCGGAAAGGCGAAGGCGTGATCGTGCACATCATCGTGTTTTATTTTATGATTTTGGGAAAACTCTGATATTAAACATGTTTTGAAAACTATTTTGTAAGCAATGATGATGTATGGGTTATTTTAAAAAGTTTAAAATTTTCATGAATTTTATGGACGTTACACAAGGCGTTGATCACCCAACGAGTCGCAGGAGCCCTAACTATCCATGAATCCAATAGAAATGTCAAATCCGGACAAGTTGGAGGAACCAAAGGAGATAGTACTCAAGGTTGTAACGGAGGTCAGCCAAGGGGTTGTACTTATAAGGAATTCATGAATTGCAACCCCAAACCCTTCTACGGAAATACAGGAGTAGTAGGACTGAATCATTGGATCGAGAAGATGGAGTCAGTATTTGAGATCAACTTTTGTGTTGAAAATTTTAAAGTTAATTTTGTTGCTTGTACCTTAAAGGATACAACATTGTCATGGTGGAATAGCCATTCCAAAACCAAGGGTATTAGCACAACGAATGCCATATCCTAGAATAATCTAAAGCAACTAATGATTTATTAGTACTACCCTATAGAGGAGATGCAAACACTGGAGCAAGAGCTCTGGAATCTTACCATGCAAGATGAAAACATTGCAACTTATACCAACTGTTTCAATAATCTTGCTATTGTCTGCCCCAACATTGTCACTCTGAAGCACAAAAGGTAAAAAGGTACATATGGGGATTAGTTTAACCTATTCAAAGGTTGGTCATTGTATCCAGACCAACTACGTATGATAATTCCAAGTGGTTGACCTTTAACCTCATCGGTCGGGAAACCGGCCAGGGCACTATGGTCCTGAAAGTTAACCTTCCAAAGTCTAGAAACAACAAGAGGAAGTTTGATGGTGACTCATAGCAACTAATAAGGAGAAAACAAAACTTAGGGAAAGTTTACCTAATAACCATCCCATCACCCACTCCACTAAGATAGTATGTTGGAGATATTCCTTTATGTATGGAGTGCAACTATCACCATGAAGGTGCATGCAGAGAGCTAATCTTTAACAACTGTAGTAGGAAGGGCCACGCCGATAAGTCCTATAGGATCCCGACCCACGCCACAAACCCGAGAATTAGAAATCGTAACTGTTATAAATGTAGAGAAGATGACCACTTCAAAAGAAATTACCCTAGATTGGCAGATCAAAGAGGTAACACTCGAGGAAGAGCATTTTTCATTGGCATGAGAGACGCTACCCAAGATCCACTCCTAGAAATTGGTACCTCCTCATCAAATAACTTGCGTACAAACAAAAATGAGGATATAATTTTGTGAACACTAGATTTGAACACTCGTTAGAACACAAAACTAGTAAAAGCTAAGAAACATATGTTATTAATTATTAGGAGGATATATAGGTTACATGATTCTAAAATTAAATAGTTTTAGAAAATATGATTTAGCTCTATTACGCAACTCTTGTCCTAGTCTAACCGTAGTAGGGAGAAATCATGCGGTCGAAAATCTGCTTAATTTTAGTAACATGTAATAGTATTCGCCAAATTATCAAATAACATTAAGTAGAACACTCGGAATCCCTTGAGAATTCTAAAGCGAATGGTTTTGAAAACCCTTCAAAATGTCATAGGGATTCTATATCTATCGAGTTTATGT